AAAAAATGCAGATGAGCTGAAGGCCACTGTCAAAGAAACCTGGGCTTCCATACCACCTCAGCAGTGCCATAAACTGATCACCTCCATGCCACGCCGAATTGAGGCAGTAATTAAAGCAAAAGGAGCCCTTACCAAGTATTGAGTACATGTACAGTAAATGAACATACTTTCCAGAAGGCCGGCTATAAATTAAATTCACTAAAATGTTTGTTTTTTTATTGGTCTTATGAAGTATTCTAATTTGTTGAGATAGTGAATTGGTGGGTTTTTGTTAAATGTGAGCCAAAATCATCACAATTAAAAGAACCAAAGACTTAAACTACTTCAGTCTGTGTGCATTGAATTTATTTAATACACGAGTTTCACAATTTGAGTTGAATTACTGACATGAACTTTTCCACGACATTCTAATTTATTGAGATGCACCTGTATTCCCTTGAAGGTTGGATTAAAATACTATTGTTTCGTGTATGCCTGGTCTCCTCGTTCCTCACTCCTCGCCTTAAGGGAAGTGTGACATCATGAGTTTGTCTGCATCCATATTGCATGTTTCCTCTCACTTGTAAAGTATGTTAGCAGTTATTTCTTCTAGTTTTTTCAAAGCAGTTCTTTCTGTGTTTCCGCTCACGTGTTTTTAAATCCGTTTCATTGAGGTTCCAAATAATGGCTCATTGGCTTAGATATAACACCTAGAAACATATATTCTTATGCACACATGCAAAGTATGTTGCAGCTGTAGTTCTATGAAATTCTGTTGTCTTAGCTACTCTGTTACTAATAAAAGTTTTTTTTCACTGCTTGTCCTATTTTGGCACAATTCCTAAATTGAACTCGAGCAGTTTTACTAAAAGCACCCAACTCGCATGATATTGAACTATGTCAAACATATTCTTCCTGCCTTCCTCATATAAATTACTATAAATTTGATATGGTAAATAATTCTGAGACACTAAATTGGGCAAAGAGCACAAATGACTTTAAGACTTGAAGCTAAAGTTGAGGACTTGCAACTTGACTTGGACTTGCCTGTCTTGACTCGGGACTTGACTCGAGAATTGAATGCAAAGACTTGAGACTTACTTGTGACTTGCAAAACAACGACTTGGTCACACCTCTGGCAGTAACTGTAAATTAAATGTAAGCTGGCTAATACAGCCCTAATTACTCAAATGAGTAAATGTATATTCCTCTTATCAGTTAAAATGTAGTCTGATTTCTATTATTTATTCTTTAATGCTTTAAAGAGCAAATTTAGATTGTAATGTTTTACTGTTCTACTAATTACCATAAAAGGTACAGGTGTCATAAAACCCGAGAGAAAGACTGAATGGCTAGAAATGATCAACTGAATGTGCAAGTAGCAACTATGTTAAAGTGTTTTCATATATCTTAAAAAAAAAGGTCATTACATTTTGGGCACAATATATTAAATACAGTCAGTTGTAGCCTATATTTTAATTTATTTGATCTATTTCAGTTGTATTTTTTGTATACTTTTATTTTTGGACTTATAATAAAGTGTGAGAGAGTCAGTGGTAATATCAATGCATTCCTATTGGTCAGTGTTAGAGGAGCTCAGCTTAGCCTGACAGTTAGCCTGCTCCAGACCAGGTTAGTTTCCCAGCATAAGTTGCCACGGTGACTGAGCTTGAGCTATATGGTAAATTTGCTTTCTGAAACCAAATCAAGTGACAATAAGTCAGACTAAGTGAAATAAACCTGGCTTATTTGGTAAACTTGTTTTATGAAACAGCCCCCTGCAGCTGTTGCAGTGAGGTTCAGATCAACTCTAGGCTGGAGTTTCTCCAAAATCAACAATATCCAAGAAGTGTTATTCCTGTATGAGTTTACTTCATGATATAACTCAAATCATGATGCTTTATTATGATTTTTGCATTTTGTTCAAGTTATATATCATTTTCTTAAAAGATTGAAGCAGAGTGGATTCCAATGCTCCATCACCTTCCCTTTGCCGCCTTATTATATCCTTTTAGTCCATGTTTAATCACCATTTGTTAATCAGTATTATCTTTTGATTAAGTGATTAAAATAAATGTAGAATAGAGTGTTAGCATGGTTAAAGTTGTTTTTGATTCTCTTGTTCCTATGAGAAATTATGTACAGTATGTATCACTTTTAGTTCATTTACTCTCCTTCATGAAGCAAAGTAAAGCATATTTTTATACATGTAAATGTTCATTTTCTGTGTTCATATCAGCACGATTCAGCAGAAAAAGAAAAAGCATTTGGAATAAAAACATAGCAGTTTGACTTATTGTGCAATCCTTTCTGTTAATTTTGTTTAAAGGGGTCATAGGATGCCCATTTTCCACAAGTTGATATGATTCTTTAGGGTCTTAATGAAAAGTCTGTAACATAGTTTGGTTACAATTTCTCAATGGTAGTGTAAAAACACCTTTTTTACCCTGTCAAAAACAGCTCTTTTCAGAGCATGCGGTTTTGTAGCATTTTCCTTTAAATGTTAATGAGCTGTGCTGACCCCGCATAGATACATTTAGGTAAATTGGGGGCGCATTCCCTTCAGAAAAAAGAAAAAAAACGTAATCCACTGCGTCTTCAGTGGATCAGATGTCGGGAGTAAATGACGACTGCTATGTTCATTATTACATCCAACAACAGAACACCT